ATTGACTAATTTTTTAAAAGTTCGCGAGTTATAAAATTTTTGTCCGGGATTATATCCGGGGTATGATCGACATTTTTCCGGGGTATCTTAACAACCAATCAAAACGAACTTCTGCTATGCTTAGTAAAGCTCTTACCCATGTTGTCTGACCTGTGTGGGTCAGCTTCTTATTTTCTGAAGTAGTAAATAAACGAATTCAAATCACAAGCAAGATTGAAAAATTGTCAATACAAAAATCTGAAAAACTCCAGTTTAAATATTTGAAGCACAGGCTGCTCTCTATACTAACAGCTCTAATTAAGAGTCGTTACATCATTTTTAAGAATTAACTTCAAAAACTTTGTGAATTTTCACCTAACCCGGGTCAATACCTGACCTGCCCGGGTTAGTATTTTCTGACCCAGGTAAGACCTCTGATCAAATAATTGCAACCTTTAATATTAATCTTTATTTATACAATTATAATTATTTTAATCAAGATTAATATAATCAAATTCATGTTGAATTTATTAAATAACTATAAAAGTATTACTAATTAAAAGAAATTAAAATGTGGGTGTCAGATATTAAAGATATAAAGAAGATTATTGCAGATATTAAAGATATAAAGATTATTGGTGAATAAATAAGTGTTATCAATGTTTCAAGAATCAAATCATTTGCAAGTTTGAAAGAGACGTTTTATTTATTTATCTATGGTTGGACAGCTGACTTTGTAATTTATATAATACTTCAATTGTTCGGTGGCAGTTCCTCCTGGATAATTAGTAGCGAAATCATTTAAGATCATTTATTATAAAGATCATTACCAATATATGTCACAATCGTTGATCATCAAAAAATTGGGTGATCAGGTATAATCTCATCATCTACGTACTACTGTATGTAACCCTAAAAATTTAAGTGAAACAACTTCCTAGACTATTGCACATAAGCGGATACACAAGTTTAACAGCCAATCATATACGTACGCACGTACGTACTACGTACATGCGTACATATGTATACGTACGCTAACTTTTAAAAAAATTTTTAAAAAGGAAATGACAACTTCTCAAATAATTCAAGATGGAGATAATAAATCTCCTTCGTTAATAGTACCAATAACAACTAATTTATCACCTACATCAGGAAATTCCATAGATTTTTCCTCATTTTTAGCAAAAGAATTTAATGTTAAAGCATGGATAAATGATACACTTTCTAATGTAAATTTAAATACTTCACCAACTTCAAATTCTTCTAATTCGATTTCTACATCCGATATTGATGAAACTATCAAGTCAGATATTAAATCTACTCATGATATTCCATCTATTAATGAATTACAATCATTAGAATATCATTCTTCAGCTTTAGTAGAAAAACTTCAATTTTTAAATCAAGAAATTTCACTTCGTTTAGAAAAAATTATAGATGATGTGGTTAAAGGTATTCCGAATATAACGTCCGACCTTCAAATAATGTCACAAGATGTTATTAATTTAAAACAAAATGTTCTTCATGTAAAATCTAATCTTACAACTATCGATGAAAATTCTGGTAAACCTTTGGAACGATTAAAATATCTTGATTTAGTTAAATCTCGTATGGAAAGTTCAAGAGATTTATTAAGAGAAGCAGAAAATTGGAATAATTTAGAAGCTGAAGCTAGTACAATTTTCGCATCTCAAGATTATCAAAAAGCTAGTATGAGATTACAAGATGCAGAAAAAAGTTTGGTAATATTTCAGAATACTCCAGAATATGAAGAAAGAAGAAAATTATTAACGGAACTTCAAAATCAACTTGAAGCTACTGTTAGTCCACAATTGGTTGCAGCGTTAAGTCAACATGATACTAGTGCTTGTCAAAAATTTTATATTATATTTAGTCAAATTGGAAGGAAGAAAGAATTTTGTAATTATTATTATGGTTCAAGGAAAGCACCACTCGTTAAAATGTGGCAAAATGCAGCATTAATTGAGACCGATCAATCTCAAGTAACTCAAGTATCTAATTCAACTACAAATTCCGTTGTTTCTCCTGTAAACATGATCACTTCAGCATCATCTACTTTTCATGATCAACAACCTTTATCTCCAAAATCACCTTCTCAACCTCAATTTCGAAAAAAATTTGTAGAATTTTTAAAAGATTTTTTACAAGAATTATTCGTCGTTTTAAATGAAGAATATACATGGTGTGGTAATGTATTCCCGGATAATAATGAAACATTAATAGCTTTAATTGAAAACATTTTTAATTCTTTAAAACCTTCATTGGGATCTAGATTAACAATGTTAGTTAATTATTATAATGAACAAAGTTTACCAGAAATTATTAATGCATTTATGATAACCGAAAATTTTGGTAGACAAATGGAAAGAGTTTTATTTAATCCTATTCAAATTGGTTCAACTGCTAGTCGTATTTTAACATCTTTAGGAAACAAAAATTTTTCCAAAGGAAGTTTAATTAATTGGGGAAATGTTATTTTTGAACCTTTTTCAGAATATCAACATGATTATTCAGAATTTGAAAAAAATTTTTTAATTAGTGAACTTAAAAGAATTCTTCAAATAAAACGTGATTCTAGTTCAATTGATTTGGCTAGAATTATGGCAGAAAATATTGGAAAAATTTTTTCTATGGCTGATGATGGATTACAACGATGTATGACTCTTACTCATGGTTTCGCTGGTGTTGGATTAGTTGATACGTTAAATCATTATTTTAATTCATTTGTTAAAGAATATCAACATTTATTAGATCACTTAAGAATTGATTGTGGTTTGAATGATGTTAATAATTCTAAACAAAAACTCGTCACAACAGCTCAAAAAAAGTTTCAATCATCTACTTCGAATGATTATTTTGATTTTGATCAAGATAAATTACAACAAGAGGATTGGTCTAATTTTCAAATTGGATTAAGATTATTGGCAACTTGTAAATTAGCTTTTGATAAGTTAAATACGTTCGAGGAAACTTTAAGGACGACATTGATTAGTGTCAAAGAATTAATAGAACAAGATTTAGGTAACGAAGATTTGGAATGGTATGAAAGGAGATCGAGTGCATCAATTAGTGACTCAAATTCTATCGGAACACAATCTTCAATATTATTATTAAAGCAATCATTGCTTAATAGTTATCAACTCGTCTCATTACTTCCAAATATCGAATCAAAAGGAAATGAATTAAAATTATTATCGCCTGCTCAAAAATCAATGGAAATTTTTATAAGGCAATCTCAACGGTTCGTTTTTGATACAATTTTCTTACCTATAGTAAAACATCTTTATAATCTACCTATGATGGAAATTTGGAGCGCTGCTGCTGAACCTGCACAAGTCTCCCCGTTTAATCTAGAGATACCTACATTTTCATTGAGTCCAAGTGAATATATTACGAGAATTGGAGAGCATCTATTAACATTACCACAACAATTTGAGGTTTATGCTGATGATGAAAGTTTAGCTTTTAGTATAAAATCATTACCTTTTTGTGATGAAGGTGAAGGAAAAGATGAAAATATCGGTGTTGGTGTTGGCGTCGGTGTTGGAGTCGGTGCCGGAAAGAAGGATGAAAGCGTATTGTCTAGTACACAAGGTCCGGAGACTACCGAAACTAGTTCAAAATCTTCTGTATTGTCTTCAATTAAAATAGTAAGCGAAAGTACTGTGTCGCTTGTTGATTCTTCCATTGTTCAACAACCCCAATCCACTGTTGATGATATTTCAACTGAAGAAGTAACACATGCGTGGATAACCTCTGTTGCTAGAGGAACAATGCATGCATTATTCGAACGAATTCTTCTGATAACTCAATTATCAACACATGGAACACAACAATTATTAACAGATCTTGGATACTTAACCAATGTTTTGAGCGCCTTAGAAATTGAACCTACAAGAGAAATTATAAAAACTATTAAAGTTCTGGAAATGGATGAGGATACCGTAGTTAACGCTTTAAGAGTAAAGATGGGAAATATTAGCAGTCAGAGTGGAAGTTTGATCGGTGATTTTGAAGAATTTTCTGATGCAAAAAATAGTGAAATCTTGGATAAAGTTGCTAATGTTAGAGGAATTAAATTATTAGATCTAAGTTTTTGATAAATAAAATTAATTATTTCATTATTAACTGTTCGGTTATAGATTTGATTGATGAAAAGTTTTTTTTATGTTAACTTTTAATTTTAAAATCATTAATATAATAAATATAAATATTTTATACGTAATAACTATCTGTATCTGGTATGTTCTTCACAAAATAACGTGATTAAAATAATATTTGTGTATTAAGATAAATTACTATGTAAGTTGTCCAGGCCAGATGCGATCAGATTAGCTTGATTAAAAGTCACGCTCTTACCTTTTTACGATGCGCCGAATTAACCGATTTTTTACGCAATAACAAATAGAAAAACAAAGCTCTTTGTGCAAGAGCGAAGAGCAAAGAAACGAGTATAAAAAAAATAAAAAGCATACGTCTTGAAAATCAAGTAATCAAATTTATTAAATTCAATTTTCGATTATTCGATTCAAAAACAATTTTAAATTATATTTTTTTATTTGTTCAATATAAAAAAAAATAAATAATAAAGTATTTGACTAGTAAAAATCCGAAAATTTATATTATTGTTTTAAAATGGCTTCAACGCAACTTATTATACGAATACTTGCAAACCTAGAAAGTTAAACCTTAAGAACCTCATACTAATTAAATTAATGTAAAAGTACGAATTAGAAGTTGTCATTTTAAAATTATTTTACAATAATGCATTTTGCTATTAATGGTCTAAAATTAACGCGTAAAAAATCAAAAAGAACGCGTAAATATAAAAAGTAAATAAATATAACAATGCGCATATATGTACTGTATGTACGTACGTACGTACGTACCAGAATTTATTGAAAAAATTGTTTAACGTTAATACAGCAAGGAAAATTTCCGAGATTTTGGATTGAATCAAATCAAGTTTGTATTGGTTTGATTATATCAAAATTTTTAGACTACAGTTCAGGACCCGTCTTTTTGGTCTTGTTTATTTATTTTTGTTTTTATTTTTTTTTTTTAAATTCCTTACCAATACAATACAATACAATACAATACAATACATCGTTACCAATTTTTAACAACTACTTCTTCAGAAGCTATATTGAAATCCATAAAATTTATATAATCTATTAAAAAGACTCGGGAGTATTATGTTGTGTTGAAAAGTGAAAAGTAATTATAAAGAGAAATGATGTCAGTGATTAACCGAAATATAGTAATCAAAATTAAAAAATTAATCATTACGTTATATATTGTATTATACATTATAAATAATTTTCAACATTAAATAATAAAAAAAAAAAACTCTTATTCAATTATAACTTTATGACCAACCCAACTAACAAAAAATATAGAACCAATAGAATAAAAAATAGTAACCAAAATCCAAACAATATTCCAATTTCTATTTGTAATATCTAGTATCCATCCCGTAAATGCTACTCCTAATACAGCTGGAATTCCAGCAAAAGTATTTCCCAATCCATAAATTGCACCAGCGTATCTAGGAGCTATATCCAACTATTATAACGTATTAATATAAATTTTTAAGTAATAAAAAAAAGTTATCAGAATAATCATCAATTTTACCTGAGACACGTGTACACCACAAATAAAAAATGAGTTTAATGCTGTGCCAATTGATAATAAGATTATTCCTTGTAGAGGTGTTTGTGCTAAAAATGCTGTCTAATGAAAAAATAGATATTACAAATTGAAAGTACATTATATACAGGAAGGAAAAAACCATATATATATATATTGAAAAACTTACACATAAAATAAATGTTGATGTTCCAATTGCGCCAATTATTTGAGCACTTCTCCGTACAGTTTTTACATGAATATTCAATTTATTAATTGCGTAATCACCAATAATACCAGCGATAATACCAGTGGTTCCTTGTGTGGCATAAGGAAGCACTAAATTTAAGAGTTTCATGTACGTGTAAATGAATTATAATTAAATAAATAATGATAAAATTAAATTATTATCATATTATTGCTACAGCTTATCATGAAATAAATTCTTACCAGAATAATATCCAAAATTTTTAGTATCTAACTTAAACCGATCCAAAAAATAAAGTGGTAACCAGTTGAGTATTATAAAATTACCAAATGAATTGCAAAATTGAGTAATGAGTATAGCCCAAACTTCACGACGAGAAAGAAGGAATTTCCATGGAACTTCTTTTGGATTTGATAATATTAAATTCTTCGGTAATAGTACATCATCAACCTCGGCTTCGAGATCATTATTTACTTCGATTACAGAGTTTGATGTTAATAAAACATCAGAAGTTACATTATCATTCTCATTTGTTGATTTCTCTGGTAATAATACATCGACCTCGGCTTCAACATTATCATTCTCACTTGTTGACGATTTAATAATATTTTTTTTTTCCTTGCTTTTTATAATTAAATCCAACTCTTCTTGACTTATTCCTGAATATTCATTTGGTCTACTTTTACCATAAATTTGCCATAATATAGACCAAACAAATCCAGCCATTCCAAACGTCCAAAAAATACTAGGCCATCCATAAGAGCTACTAGATCCTAACCAAGTTGATATCGGTAGGGCAACCACAATTCCTATATAAGCAGCAGCTACATTAAACACATAATTTTGTATTTTATTAATTAAAAAAATTTTGTTTTACAAATCCTAATGAAATTGTAATTTATAACTCACATATAATAGCTGAAACTGCTTTACTACTTTCTTCCGCTGGAAACCATGAAGCAATTAAGGAGTTTACAGTCGGAAAACTAGCACCTTCACCAATACCCAAAAGTATTCGACATAATAAAAGATAACCTAAACCAGTCTGAGCAGCTAATGGTGTAAGAAAGGTAAAAAATGTCCATAATGCGGCAGCTAAAAATATTTATTTATAATTCTGTTAATTATGTAATGTTTGCAAATGCTAAGATGAATTTTGTTTAAAAAAAATAACACGATCATTTCTTGAGATCATGTAAAATTTCCAAGAGGTGCAACATAGTATTATTACTTACAAGTCGCTAATACCCATTTTCCACCATATTTATCAGCAAGTGCACCACCTAAAGTTTGTGTTGTCAAGTAACCCACAAAAAATGATGATAGTATAACACCTTGAATTGTTGATGTAAAGCCAAAATCTAATGTCATATAGACTATGGCAATAGCCATATTTGATCGATCTTTTTTAAAAAAAATTCAACCATTTTTAATACGTAATATTTTTAGAATGCATATAAAATTAAACTATTAGCTATTAAATAAATCAAAATTTCAAGTACGTACCCGCATAACTGATAATAATTCCAGTCACACAAAGAATAATTATAATTAATCGCTTTGGAATATAAAAATTTGGAAACAAGTTAAAACTTTGAAAAATCATTTTTTTTCCCAATTATAATATGCGGAACTTATGACTTAAAAATGATATTTATATTTTTGAAGGCTGACGCCTAGCTTTATACTCTTGTACCTATGATCGCCGCCCCTTGCAGTGCAGTTACTCCAAATTGCCACTGTCATACTCTGTGCCAATTACGTATCTGTACAGTATAAACAAAAAAAAAAATTTTTAACGCGTTAGTAATTGAACTAACCAAATATGGATTTGTTGTTATCTGTCTTCAAAGCTGTTTACGTAATGGCTTATCCGAAGCCGGTTTTAGCTGCAACTGAATCAGCTTTTTAAAGTCCTAGCTTCTTAGTTTTTGAAGCCACAACTTGTGTCATAGCTAGAGCATGACTTGAGCCTTGGCTCAAGCTGTGGTAGACAATTCTGTACCGATACAGTACTGCAGTAGCATTGTATTAAATATTATTACGTAGCTACAGTAACAATGATTTTAAA